CTACACCAGGAGGCGGAGATTCAGTGATAAAACGTTCCCTCAAAAAGTTCTCATGTGGCGGGGCGCCTGGGTGGCTCAGTCGGTTGAGCGTCCGACTTCGGCTCAGGTCACAGTCTCACGGTCCGCAAGTTCGAGCCCCACGTCGGGCTCTGGGCTGACGGCTCAGAGCCTGGAGCCTGCTTCCGATTCTGTGTCTCCCTCTCTCTCTGCCCCTCCCCCGTTCATGCTCTGTCTCTCTCTGTCTCAAAAGTAAATAAAACGTTAAAAAAAATTAAAAAAAAAAAAGTTCTCATGTGGAGAAAACAACAGAAAGCAATTCCATACAAGTACTAAGAGATGTGGACACAGGGCACCAGGCAAGTGGTTATTCACAAAGGGGAGGTGGCCACCCGCCTGGTTTTCCCGAGCCTTCCAGGCATTCCTTCTCACTCTTCTTTATTCCATCTCGTCAACTTCTCAACATTCAAGGGGTCCAGGCTTGGGTCCTTGGACCTCTTCTCACCCGCTTCTTCTTCTCAGGTCCTTGGACCTGCACTCACCCACTAGGATCCACCACCCATAGTCTGGGTGAGCTCATTGGTCTCCAAGCCTTAAACTGAACCCCCAAACATCTAGCTCCAGCCAGGCTTCCTTCCTCAATTCCAGACTGCCTGCGTTTACTGTTATCTAACAGTCATGTCAAGTTAACATGTCCAAATCAAAAGTCTCCCCATACACCAGCTCCTCCCGTGGTCCTGCCTTTCTCCGTCGATGGCAACACATTCCAGCTGCTCGGCCAAGAACCTTGGTGTCCCCGTTATTGCTTCCCCACTCATGTTCTGTATCTGATCCAGCTACAAAGTCCTCGCTTGTGTCTTAGGAATACATCCAAACTGCATACTGCTTACCGCCTCCAATGCCACAGTCCTGGTCTAACCCACCATCCTCTCTTCTTAGATGATGTATTAGCGGGCATTCTCCAGAGAAACTAAACCAACAGATGTGTATAGAGAAAGAGAGATTTACTTTTAGGAATTAGCTCATGAGATTGTAGAGACACAAGTCCAAAATGTGCAGGCTAGGCCAGCAGACTGGAAACCTGAGAAGGAGTTGCAGCCCGAGTCTGAAGGGACTTGGCAGAATTCCTTCTTGTTTTAGGAGGTAAATCTTCGTTCTAGCCAGGTCTTCAACTGATTTGATGAGGCCCACCCACAATTTGGAAGGTAATCTGCCTTACTCAAAATCTATCAATTTAAATGTTCGTTTCATCCAAAAAGCACCTCCATAGAAACATCCAGAATCATGTTGGGCCAGGGGCACTGGGTGACTCAGCTGGTTAAGCATCCAACTTTGGCTGAGGTCACGATCTCGAGGTTCATGGGTCTGAGCCCCGCATTGGGCTCTGTGCTGACAGCTCAGAGCCTGACGCGGGGCTCGAACTCACGGACCGTGAGATCGTGACCTGGCTGAAGTCGGACGCTTAACCGACTGCGCCACCCAGGCGCCCCAAATACACGTTTTTTTAAAAAAAAAGCTTTTTTTTAAATCATGTTGGGCCAAATATTAGCACAACTGTCCAGCCAAGCTGACATCTAAAGTGATGTCACAGATGATATTAATGGACTCTTCCCTGATCCCCTGTTACTGCCCTGGGCCCACTGCAGTCCATTCCACACAGCAATGATCATGTTAAAGCCAGAAGTCACATCACCCCACAGCTCTGGTCAAAACCCCAGAGTGCCTTCCAATGGCCCCCCAGTAGCCTCAGATGAAGCAGCAGAGTCCTTCGTGGTTTCAGAGATAATCGTGGACCCAGCTCCGTGCCCCCAGAGCTCCCCTATTCTTTCTCTCTCTCTCTCTCTCAGCCACTCCCCTCCGGGGCATTGAATTACATAGAGAACACTGTAATTCATGGGAAAGTGGCCTAACAAACTAAATCTGTAAACGGACAAAAAGGTCTTTAAAAAGCACGGCTTTTGTGGTCAACAGAAAACCGCAACTCCCGGAGGATAACACGTACACACACTAACGTGTGCAAAGCCTACATACCGAAAAGCAACAAGCGAGAAGTGAAAAGTAACATATGCTGGAGTCAGACAGCCATCCTACCACATAATAAATAGGCGGACAGGGATCAGTTTCTCAACTTAGCTGATCCTCAGCTATAAAATGGGACCTCCCTCGTCTGTCGGAAGGACAGACTGCTGTGCTTCCTGTCACCTGACGCGGTGCTCAACACAGTGGGCACTCAACTTACCTGAGAGATACCGAGAAGGGAAAACTGAATTAGGTAAAAGGAATCACCAGATAGGTGATTTGAAATGGGGAGTTTCTATGGGAAAGCTTTCTCTGGGACAACGTACATTTGGAGGTGCCAAAGAGTCTCATGTTTTCTACTTCTCTTCTTTATTTTTAATGCCGGTAGTCATTACTCACATGACTCATGAAGCTGGTTTAACAACGCTCTCGTGGACTGGACTCCAGAGACTCAACGCACACTGATCGTACCCTGATCGTCCCTCCCAAATACAGTTTCACTGTGGGCTATCCTATACTTCAAAACCTGTCTTCCTCTATGTCAGATGTTTTCTCACCAACATCAAAACCTCATTCAAACTCTCCTTTCTGGAAAGAGCTCAGTCAACAAGTATCTGAGCATCAGCTGTGTGCCTGCCACGGGGCAGAGGGTGCCTTTATGGTCAGCTCACCCTACATCAACCCCAGGTCTACCACTGTATCAGTTTCCTGTTGCTGCCATACCAAATTATCAATAATCCAGCAGTTCAAAACAACACAAATTGATTATTTCATAGTTTCTGTCAATCAGTAGTGCAGGCGGACACAAGTAGGTCCTCTGCTTAGAGTCCCGTAAGGCCAAAATCAAGGTGTTGGCAGGACTGCGTTCACTACCAAAGGCTCATTCAGGGTCGTTGGCCAAATTCAGTTCCTTGAAGTTGTAGGACAGAGGTCCCTGTTTCCCTGCTGGCCGTCAGCCGGGATCCCATCTTTGCTCCTAGCTGTCCACATTCTTCTCCTGCTTCCTTTGTGGTCGGTCCTGTCTGACACCAACTGGTCGAGTCCCTCTCGTGTTTCAAATCCCTGCTTTTAAGGGCTCGTGTCATTAGACAATCCAGGTAATCTCCCTATTTTAGAATCTATAACCTTAGTTACATCCGCAAAATCCCTCTTTCCTGTAACAGAACACAGTCACAGGGTCCCGTGGTTATCTTTGGAGGGGGGTAGAGGCTCTTTCTACCTACCGTGACTATTTATTTCAGGAAGTTATTGGGCAAGGCACTTTACCACCCAAGTCTGTTTCCTCAACTACAAAATTAAGTTACTGCCATCAATCTCAGGGGGTTATTTCAAGGACTAAATAACGTAGCTGTATTTGAGTGCCCACTACACAGCAGAGCCTCCGCCTTAGATATGCACGTGGTAAGGGCCCAGGAAGGGCCTTTCAGAGAAGTACTGCTCAGACTCAAAGCACTACACAAACAAATCTCAATGTTATTTGCCTATTTCTAGCTACATACAGAAGTTGAAACGTTTATGGCAATTTTACAAAGTAATTTTACTTGATAATTATAATTAATATTTTAAGTGGGGCTTGTATTTTCTTTTTTCCATTCCATTACTCTGAAATTTCATTTTTATTGATTTTTCAAAGTCTTAATCCACCAAGACTGGAAATTGTAACAACTGGTCCTCAGTAGTTAGAACATTTAAATCTATACTTTTAGTTTCTGAAAAGGGCAATAATAATTTACATCCACTACCACAATAAGTTATTTAGAAGCAACACAGCTCTGCCCGTTACAAGCAGAGGAGGCTTAAGGAGAGAGGGTAGCCTATAGGATTACTCACTAGAGCAATTCAAGGGGAAAAAGTACAAAAGCAGCAACAAAAAAGCCACTCTAAAGCTGCACAAGGGTCTCTTTGTCCCCTCCCCGCCTCCAAGAACAGGTTTACTAAAGATCCCAAGTAGTCCTTGACTCTGCAAAGGCTTGAAGCTTGTCTACAGAGGCTTGAAGCAATCCCATGAAAACCTGACGGGGCCAACCAACAAGAGAAACTTTCTCAAAAACTAAAAAACTGGGGCGCCTGGGTAGCTCAGTCGGCTAAGCGTCCGACTTCGGCTCAGGTCATGATCTCACCGTTCATGAGTTGCAGCCCCGCGTCGGGCTCTGTGCTGACAGCTCAGAGCCTGGAGCCTGTTTCAGATTCTGTGTCTCCCTCTCTCTGACCCTCCCCTGTTCATGCTCTGTCTCTCCCTGTCTCAAAAATAAAGAAAAAAGAAAAAAGAAAAAAAAAAGAAGGAAAAAAGCTACCAATCCATGAAAAAACATGGAGAAAACTTAAACACATACTACAAAATCAAAGTAGCAGATCTGAAAAGGCTAAACAGGCCTGATTCTAACTATAAGACACTCTGGAAAACGCAACACTACGGATAGTGAAAGGATCAGTGGTTGCCAGGGTTGGGGGGGAGAGGGAGGGGTAAAGAGGCAGAGCACAAAAGGCAGTGGAACTATTCTGTATGGTGGTGGATACAGGTTCATACACCTGTCCACAACCACAGACCACAACACTAAGATTGAACCCTCATCGTCACTACGGACTCTGGTTAACGATAACGTATCCACATCGGCTCGTCACTTGTACAATGACACGCAAAAAAAGATATTAACAACAGGGAAACGTTGGCGGGGGTGAAGAAGGTACTTGGGATTATGCTCAACTTTTCTGTAAATGTAAACTGCTCTCAAAAATAGCTTATTAATAAAAAAAAAAAAAAAAGTTAAAAAGTGAACCTAATTCTGGAGTGGCTCAACTTCCAGGAGAGTTAACCAGGCCTAGGTCACGGGGTGGTCCGGCCGGGGGCCAGGGACGTAGTCACGGAGAGTCTGGGGAGGAGCAAGGGCTCGGGCCTCACACCAACCCCCAGACGCTCCCCCACTGCCGGCCTCGCTCCCACCCCTGGCCGGGCCTGGGCTTCGCACCCACCCTCGGCCTCCTACCTCCCGGACGCTGCCGGCTGGGCCCCAGTCTGGGCCCCGGCTGCTGGGCCGAAGCCGGGGGGCGCGTCCCTGCGCTGCGCCTCGTCCCTGGCCGCCTCGGCCGGGAAGGCGGGCGGTGAGCCCAGCAGTTCCACATCCGTCACGGTCTTGCCGATGGTGAACCAGTCGTTGATCTGGTCGACGGTGAGCTTGCGCAGCATGCTCCCGGCACGGCGACGACGCCACCTCAACTGCCCAGCGGAGCGGCGGGAACAGACGACGCCAAGAACGCGAAGGCGCGTCCTGCACGGCGGGAACGCGGCCCCGCCCCGCCCGGGCCCTCCAATCAGGATGTGCCAGCGCTCGCACGGCGGAACCTCGTGCTGCCGGCCCCGCCCCTCGGCGCCGCGCTAGGCCTGTTGGGAGCACTGGCAGCCCAGCGCCTGCGCTGTCGGCAGCGTCGCTCTTCCGCTCGTTGGGGAACGCCTGAGCCACTGCGACGGCCCCCGAGTCGGCGAGGTGAGTCCCTCGAAGCTGCTCTGCGTTTTAGGGGCCTGGGCCGGGGCATCAGCGGATCCAGGAGGTGCAAGAATTTGGTCTTGACTTGCTCTCCACAGTTCCCTCTGCGGTTACGTCCGCGGCTTGGCGCTCCAGGCCGAGAAGGGCCAGACATTGATGGAGCACCTGCTGTGTGTCAGGCTCGGCGCAGAGCTGCCGGGGTACCACGCTGGGAGACCTCAAGGTGGGAGATGGAAGGCAAACGGGAGGAGGGGGTTGAGTGTATATTGTCCAGGTAAACGGCTGGCTGCTGAACTGAGACACCTTGCACCTTACCTGGGGAACAGAAGTAAGGTCAGGAAAGATTTCTAGGAGAAAGTGACCCCAAAGTGGACATCTGCAGGGTAGCCAGGAACGAGGCAGGTGAAGAACGACTGCAGAGGGAAGACTCACAGGGAACGTACTCCATGGGCGGAGGCCTGAAGGCACATGCCACTAAGGCCTGAACTGCAGGCTTGGAAGAAGTTCTCTTGGGCCACAACATGACTAAATTCCTCTCCTTCTTTCCTAAACCTGCATCTGGGGTACGGTGTCTTGCACACGGCTAGATGGAAAGAGGTGGCCAGAGGTACAGATTTGGTGGTCATCAGCAAATGAACGGTGGTTAAGACCCTGAGAACAGCTGAAATGGCCCAGGCCGAGCACTAGAAGAATGAAGGTGGAGGACAGAACCCTAGGAAACAGCCTGAAAGATGAGGCAGAGGTGGGGGAATCCAGCAAAGATCTACAAAGGCAGGGAGATGGCACGGAGAACAAGAAAAGTGGCATGATTGCCTGCCGGCCATCATTCCATTCTTTTCTCCGGAAAGACACGTGTGAATGAGTAGGTGGAAGGCATCAGGAGCGTAGTGCTGACCAACGTTGTGAAGTCGAGTTAAGGACTGGAAAATGCTCAAAGAGTGGCGAATAGAGGTCAGCTTGAGAGCAGTGCAGACAGCGGTCAGACTGGTTGGGGGTTGAGCTCTCCACGTTTCAGGAACAATGAGCCCAGCAAGGTACTGAGCCAGGGGTCCTAAGTCCAAATCCTGATGACACCACTAGTTTATATTTATGAGCTCTGGGCTTCCCGTTCTAACGTTTCCAAACACAGCAGCCTGCAAAAGGTGCCCCTCGCCCACGCACTTTTTGGCCATGGGAAAGAACCTGTTTTTCAATAAATAAGAATGTAATCACAAAGTCATTGAGACTTTTCAGGCGTTATTCAGCGTTGACTAAAAAACACTGTAACTTCATAGTTTATGTGAAGGCTAAAACGTGTTCTAAATCTCCCCAAATGCATCGAAACCACTTGGAACGACTGAAACTCACATTTGTGTTTCCTAGTACGTTACGGTTCCCACACTCTGTCATCCCTTGTCTGTGACACGGTGGATGTTGCTTGGATGTTTCAAGTGGAAGTTGCTCTTTTTTTTTTTTTTTTTTTTTTTTTTTTTTTTGGAAGAGCGGGCTTGTTCTGTTTTTATCTGACTATAGTCAACGGGCAATGGCGGAGGCGTAGGTGTAGAACACAGCAGTTCAACACTCTATACATTATGCTGTGCTCACCGCTGCTGCAGCTACCATCCGTCACCGTGAGGCGCTATTACGGTATCATTGACTCGGTTCCCTATGCGGTGCCTCCCATTCCCATGACTTACTCATTCGATAGCTGGAAGCTTGTATCTCCCGCTCCCCTTTACCCATTTTGCCCAATCCCCCCTTCCCTCTAGCAGCCATCAGTTTGCTCTCTGCATTTATAAGTCAGATGCTGCTTTTTGTTGGTTTCTTCATTTTTTTTTTTTTTTTAGATTCTACATATAAGTGAAATCATGTATTTGTTTTTCTCAGTCTGACTTCTTTCACTGAGCGTAATACACTTTAGGTCCAGCCACGTTGTTGGAAATGGCACAGTCTCATCCTTTTTAGGGCTGATATTCCGTTGTGTGTATCTTCCTTTTCCTTTTGGCTATCAATGGACGCTTGGTTTGCTTCCATACCTTGGCTGTTGTAAAAATGCCGCAATAAACGTAGGGGTGCAGATATCTTTTTGAATTTGTGGTTTTGGGTTTGGGGGCATCATTACCCAATATTGGAATTATTGGATCATATGGTATGTCTATCTTTAATATTTTGAGGAACCTCCATACCGCTTCCCACAGTGGCCGCACCAATTTACCTTCCCAGCAACAGTGATCAAGCATATTCCTTTTTCTCCAAGTGTTTCTGTCACCAATACTTGCTGTTTCTTGTCTTTTTTATTTTAGCCAATTCTAACGGGTGTAAGGTGATTGGAAGTCCTTTTCTATGTTCTTTGGACCTTTTGGGTTGCTATCTCTTTCAGTCCTCTTGAGTTTTGAGGGATTTTTTTAAGTTTATTTACTTATTTTAAAAGAGACAGAGACAGGGGTGCCTGGGTGGTGCAGTCGGTTAAGCGTCCGACTTCA